GCCTACGATAGATGTTCTATATTGTGAACAAGAAGTTATAGCGGATGATACTCCGGCTGTAGAAGTAGTGCTCAAAGCTGATGTAAAGTGCACGGAGCTTCAAGCGGAATGCAAGAAGTTGGAGGAGTTGACAGAGCAAGGGGATACCACTGTGCAGAACAGATTGCAAGAGGTAATCATCGTTTTTATGAACTTCGAATTTTTTCTCTGAAAAATAATTGATAAGTTGTAGGAAAAGATTATCTGTAATTTTATTATTCGTCAATTTCCGTTTCTATGTTTTGAACTTTATCTTCTTTTCGAAGAAGTTGTGACTGTTGAAAAATTGGACTAATACGATTTGTACGTTATTTTCAGGTGTACGATGAATTGAAGGTCATCGGAGCGGATTCGGCGGAGCCGCGAGCCAGGCGGATCCTCGCCGGTTTGGGATTCAATCGTGCGATGCAAAATCGCGCGACGAAGAACTTCTCTGGTGGTTGGCGAATGCGTGTTTCGCTGGCGAGAGCACTCTTCTTGGAGCCCACGTTGTTGCTGTTGGACGAACCTACAAATCATTTAGATTTGAACGCGGTAATCTGGCTGGACAACTACTTACAAGCCTGGAAAAAGACTCTGCTAGTTGTATCGCATGACCAGAGTTTCTTGGACAATGTGTGCACGGACGTAATACATTTGGATCAGCAAAAGTTGTTCTATTACAAGGGAAATTATAGCATGTTTAAAAAGATGTACGAGCAAAAGAGAAAGGAAATGATAAAGGCGTATGAGAAGCAGGAAAAACGCTTGAAGGATCTCAAAGCGTCCGGGCAGAGTAAGAAGCAAGCTGAGAAGAGACAAAAAGAGGCGCTCACGAGGAAGCAAGAAAAGAATCGGACGAAGATGCAGAAACAGGAAGAGGATACCGGACCCACGGAACTGTTACAAAAGCCAAGGGAATACATAGTGAAATTCACTTTTCCAGATCCACCGCCGTTGCAACCTCCGATTCTTGGTCTTCAAAGTATGTAGCTAGCTCTTCTATTTGCTTAATTATTCATCAAATTGCATTTTGTAGTAACTTGAGAAGAAAACATCAATACGAAGTAATGTAACAAAAGTATATAAGTTGTATATTTAATTTCTTGTAGATGTAACATTTGGTTACGAAGGACAGAAACCGTTGTTTATTGACGCGGATTTCGGTATAGACTTGAGTTCCCGAATAGCAATACTGGGCCCCAATGGCGTCGGTAAATCTACCTTCCTGAAATTACTAATGAGTGACATAACGCCTCAGAAGGGAGAAGTCTCAAAGAATCATCGACTGGTAAGTACAAGATAGCATGTGTTAAACGACTAAATCATGCTTTCTTTATTCTTCAAACACGATTGTTCAATCTACAAAATAATTAAAATATTTTCTTAATATTTTCAATCATTAATATTTTCTCATTTGACGATCTTCGATTTGTAAAATCGCAGTATTATTTATACATAGAAATATTTATATTTATGGAATATTTTGTCCAACCAAAACTTATGTATCATATGCGGAATAATACAATAAGGTCGAGAATGGATCTTTCGTTTAATAGATAACTGCTCTACCACTCTAGCATCTCATTTTTTAAATTTTTATTTTTAAACCTAAAGTACATTTGTAAATCGCCAACAATATAATAAACAATTAGACTTTTATTTCATCCGACTACAATTGACAAATAAAATCATCATGACAATTCGACCATTGGTTTTGGTCCCTTGATCGTCAAGACGTTTAACGTACACCAATGGTCGAATTGTCACGATGATTATTTGCCAATTTTAGTCGGATGAAATGAAAGTCTAATTGTCTTTATTTTTAACTTCTTTTAATAACTATATCGCATATAATCTGTTATTCTAAATTAATTTATGTCTTACAGAGGATAGGAAGGTTTGACCAGCATTCTGGCGAGCACTTAACTGCCGAAGAGACCCCGGCGGAATATCTAATGCGACTATTCGATCTTCCATATGAAAAGGCGCGTAAGCAACTGGGCACTTTTGGCCTCAGCTCTCACGCGCATACCATCAAGATGAAGGACTTGTCAGGCGGTCAAAAGGCGCGCGTTGCGTTGGCCGAGCTCTGTCTAAACGCGCCGGACGTGCTGATCCTGGACGAGCCGACCAACAATCTCGACATAGAGTCCATCGACGCCCTGGCGGACGCCATAAACGAGTATAAAGGTGGTGTTATCATCGTTTCGCACGACGAACGGCTGATTCGAGATACGGAATGTTGTCTCTACGTGATCGAGAACCAACAGATTAACGCTATCGACGGCGATTTCGACGACTACAGAAAAGAACTGCTCGAGAGCCTGGGAGAGGTCATCAACAATCCCAGCATAGCTGCAAATGCTGCCGTTGAACAATAATCGTCGACCAATTAGCGTAATTGACATCTTGGTGGCCTGTAATAATGTATGTAAGAGCGATCATTGGATTGCGATCGAAGCCTTCGTACGGATGCCCGTTTCTCCTAAGAGCGCCGGATCCAAATTTTGTATTATAAATACCGTGCAACCGAGTGTAAAAAATAAATTGTTACCAACATGGGGTTTGAGTCAATTTAAAAAAAAATTAATCCAAGATTACTTTTGTGTCAATGTAATTTATTAAAATTCTTTTTTAATTTCATCAAGATGTAAGGCTGCCTGATTGTTGCTGCTTTTTGTAAAATTTCTGCAAAACTGCTTTTGCAAAATTTCTTTGCAAAACTGCTTTTTGTAAAATTTCCTCCAATAATCAGTTTTTATTCTTTGTAACTGAATTCTCTCTAACGTCTAATTATGTATATATTTTAAAGTATGTACCAAAAGTAACAATACAGCTACAAATAACGGGATATTATTAAATAATGCTCTTGCTAGAATATATATGTATATAGCACGTGCCCAAAGTCATGATAAAAGAGCTGTTCCTCGACTGCACTTTCTGTACTCCTCTCCTTTTCTCTCTAACGCTTAAACATATAGCTATCTCATATCGAGTGCAAAACTTAGGGCATAGTGCAGCTACGGAACCAAGCACTTGTCGCCGAATCGCCCGAATGTGTATATCTCTTTGTAACTAGGGAAGGCTCTGGAAGATTCGAATAGGTTCGTTCTACGGGCTCTTACATCCTGCCTGCGTTGAAAAGTCTCTCGAGTCTGGACTCTGGACACTGGACACCTGCACCGGTTACATCCGTTGCATCCCGCTGTCGTGTAAAAATTTGTGACATTTGTCGCACAATTCAGTGACGTTCTAAAATCAACAATGGCAACAAAGGCCGACGAGGTGAATATTTATCGTTATTGTCAATTTTCAGTTATACTTTTTTTACACTTTATGCATATAAAATCCTATTTATGCTCATTTTTAGAAGAAGAAATAATTATAACCTAATTTTGACGTATTAAGATGATGCTATGATGCACAATTATTCATTTTCCGACACAATTGAGAAATTCTTCGGAATAATTTAAATTTATATCCATAATATATGCATAAAAAAATGTTTTAAAAAATTTACTAATATATGAGTTGAAATTTTTAAGTATGAGAAGAAAGACTTTTTGAAGGTTCTTGCAAATTAATATAATTAATTAATCACATTTCTTTGCTGGATAAAGTATTTTATCAAACTGTGTAATTTTTTCCCCACAGATGAGATTAGATATTGAGGAGCTCAACAGCTTACTCGAGAAGGCTAATAGACAACGAAACAAAGACATATTGATGCTGGAAATAAGGAAACTGCAGATGGCAATGACAAAGTTGGAACAGAAAGATACGTCTGTCAAGGTGACAGCGCCTTCACTCAATGCTGCCCAAAAGTGCTACGAGGTAAAATTGAACAACTATGGGTGGGACCAGACGAGCACGACAATGAAGATCTACATAACGCTCAACAACGTTCACCAGCTGCCCAAGGAAGCCATTGTCTGTGACTTTACAGAGAGATCTCTGGATCTGCGCGTATTCGGTCTGGACAACAAAAATTATCACTTGCCGATCAATAATCTGTGCGCGGAGATTGACACCGAGAAGAGTACCTTTAAAGTGAAGACCGATATGGTCGTCGTGTTGCTCGCGAAAAAGATTGCCCGAGATTGGTCGCATGTCACGTTGGTGGAGAAGAGAATCAAGGATGCAAAGTCGCCGTCCATGCCCGAGCTGGGTGAGGATAACGATCCCAGCGCCAGCCTGATGAATCTCATGAAGAAGATGTATCAGGATGGCGACGATGAAATGAAGAAAACGATAGCGAAGGCGTGGACCGAGAACCAGGAGAAACAGAGAAACGGCGCGGCTTTGGACTTGTAATTTTGGTACCGATCTAGCTATGATCTCGATATGTTTTATGTATAACTTTTTTTATACATTAGGAAAGTGTAATATAAATTTTAGAGGAACGCTCAGGTAATGAGAGTATAGAAAATCATACGGTTTATCTTTTCTTTGTTGTAAAGAGAGTAAATAAACGACATTGGTGTAACTAGGTATTAGTTTTTAATTTTAAAGTGTTTAAAGAAAATTTTTTAAGATCTAATTGCATAGTTAAAGAAAATAACATAAAAATTTAAATATCTAAATTTTGTAAGCATTTACACGATTTATGAATATATCATTTTTAAATTATAATACCAGCCTGACCGAAGATGGCATATTTAGTTGTGAAAATCCACTTATCGGTCAAAGTTTCATATTTATTAATGTTTTTAAAGAATTATATTTTAATTTGATTTAATTGTGAAATGTTTAATTTTTTGTGCCATGCTTATGATTGCGGATGAGTGTAAATAAATATCATTTTGTTGTTTAAGAAAAGTTACACCATTGTCACAGCACTGATATTGAACTATTGTATGGGAAAAAATATGTGCATATTGCGCTAATAATTGCTAAATACATGCATTTGCATTTTCGACGGATTATTAATTATTATACATCTATTGTGTGTCATTGGAGAAATCAATAAAACAACGTGCTTCAATTAACTAAAAACAGATATCTTTATTATCTGCTCTTGAACTTCGCAAACCATTCTTTAATTTACATCGTGATTGTTATCGATATAATATACAAAACATTCTTGATAAGCTCGATCAACTGTGGATCGCGCTTCGCAGATAAATAAAGGACTTGTATGACCTAGATGCAACAGTTCGTTGAATCCTGTTTGCGATGTCGTTTAACGTTCATTAAGTGTTCAATCGAATACCATGGTCAATTGATTTATATTAATATTACATCATGACAAATGCACAGCCCAAGTACAAAACTCTTTGGAATATAAGTAATAAGCTACGCTAGTTTTACATAACGTTCTCTCATAAAACGATCGAGACATTTGCAGTTAAAAAAAACCTCAAATCTACAGTTCCGCGTCTACTAAGGTAAGAATGGAATGATGCGTTGCCTATGAAACTATCGTGTTTTTTTTTGCAAATTGGCACTGAGACGATAAATCTTTGATGACGACGTTCTGGTTAAATGTAGTAGCATCGTTAAGATGTTTTTAAGTAATTTACAATGAATCACAGATGTTCCATACGTATCTGCAATTAATCGCATTTACATAATTAAGTGGTACATGCTGATAAATCGATAATGAAACTTATGCTATTCTCGAGAAGAAGGATAGACGTCGACACATTACTTGAAGATTCGAAAAAAAAAGATTTTTTAGTTTCTAAGTTGCAAAAACTTTACTCCAAATTGTCTATTTTTATTTATGCACGAAACATTATTCGATTATACTAGAAATCGTATGTTAAACGCAGCGTTAACAGCGTACGATTGAAAATTGTGCGTTTTTTTAATCAATCAGGAAGATAACACTCTAACGCGACCGATTCGTTCGAAAGTGTTCCGTTTACTTAATTGCAACTATATGATCGATTAACACGAGATCTCGAAATTCCAAATAGCATTCTTCATAAATTACGTTTCTTTATCAGATGTCGATGTCGCGATGCTTTCATGTATTGATACGTTGTTATCGAAATTGACGTCCGAGACGTCTTTTTGACTAAGAAGTATCCGATAAACAAGATTGTATATATATTTCGCAATGGCCACATATCTCGATTCATTTTGGTCATGATATAAAAATATTCCTGCAGCTTAATCATCTCTCATGACGAATATCTCATATAATAATATAGTAACATATAACAGCCGCAACGAGAAGAGTGTACACGAAGTCTTAATCTAAAAACGATTCTTAAAAGGATACATATTTCGTTAAATGAGTCGTTCACATTCTTAAAGTAACACAACTCAATTCGTGTTACGCATTTAAAAATAACCAGCCGGTTAGGATCGTGTACGATCACGTTAATGTGAATCGCGTAGCGCGGAAATTCAAAGAATTTTATAAAAATAATTTATAAACCAAATTAATAATTTTCCGAATAGATTAACATACATATAATATGGACATAACACTGTCATCGTAACATAAATTTTGAAATTTGATCGATTTTTGTACATAGATCGCTCGTGTGTGTGACTTTTTAAATGCGTTGTAGAACATTCGACTGATCGAGGTAATTGAAATCTTAAAATATCTGTATTTGTATAATATATCCCAGATAGCAAAACACCTGTCATATTTACGAAATATGTGCGTAAACTCGTGACGAGTGTTTGCGCAAATAGCATGTAAAGCTGCGCCCGCAAATGCTCAGCGTCAATATTGAATTTGTTTCAAACAACAGTTTATTTAATAGAAACAAGAAAATCGCTCTTAAGCTATACAATCGATAATATCAAGATATCAAATTAATAATAAGGCAAATAAGAGCGAGACGCCGGTGTTAAAGCAAGGATTAGACAGAAAACATCGACTCGTATCGAATTCAGGCACTATTAATGCAAGGTTGACTTTGGTACTTTGGTAGCAGTCGATTTCGCGATATGCCATTAGTCGATCTTGTTAACCAAATTTACACCTTGACCATTGGTTTAAAGAACACATCGACACTCTATCTTATGTGTTTTACGCAACTCGATCTTAACTTTAATTATTATGTATGACACTGAAGAGATCTAAAAGTAAGACCAAAACGTTTGTAATTTGTATGTCATATTAAAGTTTTTTTTTTTCATGTTTACGCAATGTTTGTGGCAACAATACATATAAATTGTTTTCAGCAATAGGTTTGCATATTTTTGCACACTCGTTTTGCTATCTGGGACACTTAAGCAGAAGTTTACTTGAATATACTCATTTAAAAATTACAGGAAGCTGTTGAAAGTCAATGCGAAAGTGCACTACTCTCGCTTTAACAGCTAAACAAAAACGATTATAGCATTGTTCAGATTGTGCTAAGTATCGTATGACCGTTGCAGCTTACAAGAAAATTTATATTTGATGCAGAACGTAAACGGTACCACAGATGCGGAAATCGCGCAAACGATTGAATGATCATGTTGATCGTTAGTTATAACGATCGTTAGTACGTTAGTTATAATGTACGTTAGTACGCGATAGCTAGAATTTGCGGCTGTGAGCAAGCGTTTGTGATTCTGCAACAAACTCATTCGTTTTTTTCTTTATAATATCGGAAACTGAGACACGTGCCCAGTGAATATATTTGTGGTAGCATATATATTCTGAATCCTAGCAATGACTCTTGGAAGAAAAATATCAGCGTAGTTTGCGTAATACTTTTTTTTTGTCAACTAGATTTTTAATTGTCAGCTATCATTGTGATGCTAGTTGCATTAAACTGCCGCGACAGGTTATTAACAGAAAAGCATCACGTAAACTACGCTAAACTGAACACAATTTGGAAAATAAAGTAAAAAAAGATATTAACCTTAATTATAGGATATCGCATTTCGTCCATATTACGAGTACTATTTAAACGTGCAGTAGATCATTCGAGGAATGTCTAAGGATTAAAATTTAATGTCGAAAAGATTACCACCCCAGTTAGCAAGATGACGTCTAAAAACGTCTTAATGACGTTAGAGGACGTCATTAAGACGGAATTAATACGTAATTTGACGTCACTCTGCTACCTGGGACGCGCCGATCACGACTATTTTATCGCGATATCGCAATTATAACTAATCGTGAAACATATGTACACTGCAGCACAATGTGCTTCAAATTTAATACATTATCTTCCGATTAAAATATTATTTCTCTTATCATCTCGATTATGAACAATTATCTCGATTTACAATGACCAGTCAATCAACAACCGAAGTTAAATTTCACGAGAAAATATACATTCAGAAAATCACTCTGAAAGAACGTCGAAATTTTTTCCCTCTTTTAGACATTTAAAATTAAAGTGCATTTCTCCTATGATCATATGTATCTTAATCCCTTTACAGATAATCATACGGAAACGAGTGGAAGCATAAAACAGACGAGTGGGAATGTACAAGCGTATCTTATACATAGCAAAATATATCTAATGGAATTTAGTACAAAGTTAAGTATAAACGTTAGTAATGTTTTCACAATTTATGCAAAAATGCATTCTAATTAACGAATCATATTTACAACCCGTAACTCTATGAAAAATCATGATATACATATCGAAAGTTTTTCCTTTTCTTTTTCGCTCTCTTCGCGTTCACGATAAAGAGTATGTACCATATACTTCATGTATGCGGTTTCTTCAAATTACGTCTAATTAATTAAGAAACAAGGTTTATAATTTTTCAGCGACGCATATAACTCTTCCAATTGTATACTTATTTTATCGTACGCATTTTTTTCCCTTTCGCTTTAAAACGCATATCTCTGAACTAAAACGTTCGTTCTACGCAGTAATCAATTCGTCCAAACTTTCGTGTATCGAAAATGATGTATTGTACATCAACAATAAAAATTACTCGATAATTTAATTACGAATAGTGAAGAACCGTCTACGTTCTCGCGCGATTTATGCAATGAATAAAAAAATTAAGAAAAAAGAAGAATGTAGATACGGGTGTATCGTATAAAATCGCTATCCACTTTCTCTGAGTTTTGGAGACATATTAAAATATAAATTAAGATATTATATCATATTATCAATAATATACAATAAGAGAACGTTAACAATCGGACGCTTAGTCTTTGGTTCCCGCGTGGAGGCTTATTCGCTAATACTCTTGTAAAGAAGTAAACTTACTCGCTCGCTTATGTAAGACGAGCTCGTTCTCGTTATAGTCCAATAATGATCATTCGATGTACGTCTTACCGGACAGAAAGGGACTGTTGAATCTCGCGACTCGTCGCGTGAAACACCTCACTCATGGCGGTTCGCGTTTTTTCTATTAATTCTTCCACGTTGTCCGTACTGAGTCCCTCGGTTGAGATGGGCGGCAATGTCGTCACGAGGATGTGTCCTTTAATTAAGTCGATTTTAAACTACTTCTGATAATCTCGTGCAATTTTCAAGTGATTAAAGAAATTATTTTCACAGGTCTCTTTCTATAGAGGGGCAATTCTGTTATTCTATTATAAGTCATTGCTAAATTTTAATAATTAATTTTTTCATACGATTTATAATTTACTAAAATGCAGATAAGGTGATCTTTGAAAATTGAAAATTCTTAAAATTAACAAAGTTATTACCGACCTATACCTTTAAAATTTAATTCTTCAAGATTTAAAGTTTCTAAGAATTTCTTTTTCATTTTTTTAATATTTTTCGAGCTTCTGTATTTTTTATAGCCTCGCAATTACTTACCGGAATCAAATCTTTTCTCTTCCGCGGATAAGAAATAATAAGAGGAGAATACAACTGGTAGTATGGGTAACTGCGACCTGATCGCGACGTGGAAGGCACCCTTCTTAAACGGATGTATCTCACCGGTGTTGTGCCTGGTGCCCTCGGGGAATATCCACAGCTTGATCTACAAAGCGTCGTGATGAAAAGCCATATAATAGAAAGCGAATGGTGGCCAAACACGATTCACGCGCGACCTTCTTTTACCTTCTTCTCCGTGATCTCCTTCGTGGCGGTGTTGAGGGCGGATCGCGCTTTCTCGGAGTTCATTCTGTCGATGAAAATCAGGCCGCACAACCACGCGGCCAGGCCGACCGGCCATGCATAGAAGATTTCCTTCTTGGCAACGACGGTGCACTTGTCCATCACCGGCCAGAGATCGAACATCCCCAATATGTCCAGCGAGCTCTGGTGGTTCGCCACGATTATACATGCCCTGTTCTTCTCCAAGTGCTCCCTTCCTCGCAGCTCCCATCGCAGACCTAGCAGAGCACTTATGTGATGGCATAACGACGATGCCAGTCTGCAAGAAGAAAAAGATAACATCTTTTAGCATAAATACAACTTAATGAAGCAACAATTGGGCATTTTTTTAATAATTTGAACGCGGACAAGAAAATAAACAGGAGAATCTTCCTAATTTTCGTCAAGTTCAAGCACATTTACAGATGCTATAGCTTTTAATTGTATATTAATTGTGATAAAAGTATAATTAATATACAATTTTATAACAAATTAACTGTCTGAAGATAAAAAGTGCTTAGTTTGTTCTTCAGATATTTCGATTTTATCTTGCGCGTGTGTTATGAGATAAGATAAATGTTTATTTTATTTTTCGCTCGTCTAAACACGGTTTCATATATTATTAAAAATCGCGTAGAAAATCATAATATAATCGTGCATAAAGTGTGCAACTATCATAATTTTATTTTTTTTTGCATTTTTGGAACACAAATGTATTTTTACAAAAGAGTTACATCAGCATTCTAAAGAATCCTACTTAAGAATATATAATTCATAGGCTGCGTTTGTTTTAGACGCTTTCGTGCTGAAAGCATCACTCCATCTTTTTTCAACGTGTAATGAGCAATAAAGATAGACTGACGCTTTCAGCACGAAAGCGCTCAAAGCGAACGCAGCCATAATATGCAATTAAAATAAGTTAATATATGAATAAGTCAACACAAGAGAGATCACATTTCTGATCAAAGTTTTGAGAAAAAAAAATAATCCTTTAAGTGGTTAACTTTTTAAGTATACTATGGATGTCCAATGCTGCGGCATGTCTCTCTCTCTCTCTCTCTCTCTCTCTCTCTCTCTCTCTCTCTCACTCACTTAATTTCAAAGATATGAGTCAAGGCGATAAAATACTTATTGAGAACCTCACTTATACCGTACGTATATTGAGCTCTTTAGAATTCCTTAAGTGTTAAAAGGCTAGAAAAACTCTTCAGAACTTTATATGCAAAAATACTATATATTTATTCTCTACCAAGATCGTCGATCGGTATATGTACCTATAATTCAAGGAACTCACATAAAAAATGCATCAGGATTCGTTCGGTGATTTACGCGTTTTGAAAAATAAATGCCATTTTTCTGCCTTTTTTTTCATTTTACATAGACATGGAAGATACGAAACAATTTGATGAAATATACTTACACGGAAGATTTTGGAAAGAAATAATTTTAACAAAACCGACATTAAACTAACTAGAAATAGAGCTATCGACACAATTCTGTTAAGGGATCATACTTAAAAAAAAAATTCAAATTTACAATAATTGACGCTTTAAAGAGATTTATAAGTGTCAATAGTTGCTTTCCATTTATACATTAAAACTCAGATAATCCTCACTTGTGACGTCGTAACTCATTTGAATGCACGTTCTTTTTGCATGCTGGCAAGTGAGATTCAGCTGAGTTTTTATCCACAATCGAGACCGTGTGTTTTAATGAATCTAATAGACACATTAAAAGTGGGGCTACGAATCTGTATTGTTACGCGATAGCTTTGCCACCAAAGTAAGCAGCGAAGTACAAAAAATGACTTATCTTACCTGAGTATAAAAATACTCACATAACTGTGAGTGACTCAGATCACTTGAGTGTAAATGGAAAGCAATTATATCGAAAGATTTCAAAATTTACTCTTTCCCCTCCTAAGTTATTACTCCGCCTAATTAATAAATATTAATGCTGTTTGCGTGTATACGGATTTTAATACAATTAATTGATTTAAAATATTTAAACTTACATCTAGTGTTTTAAAAAATTTAAATGTCACGATATTGAAACGTTGCGTGGTTTTGAAAATCGTCCCTATTCTCTTTTCACTATAATTACTCCCTTTAATTAACAATCAGATGCTATTTTGCTAATTTGTATACACATATGTAAATTCTAATAGGTCCAATGTTGATATTTGGACAGTACAAAGTGGTACAATTACCCAAATGTTCGGATATTTCCGAGCGTACTGACAGCTAGCAAAAATATTCAATGTCAACAAGCTAAATATAGCAGAGTCGTTACTGTCGGGAGTGTCGCTGATCCGAGAAGTGATCTCCCCGCCATCCCTCAATGTAATTACTCTCACGCGCTTGGGCGACTTTTCACCACGGCTGTCCCTATGTGGCGATGACTACGAGTATCATCGCTCGTCGGACATTTGTCATTTTATTTGTGGCGGAGTGCTGCCATTGTTATGGGAAGCGGCTTATTTTCTCCCATACGCGACATACAGCTCCGTTCGAGACAGCACAACAAGTTTAAATCCTTCCCCCCTGCTCCCCGTCTCGAGGAATTGTCGCCGCTCATCGCTGCGGTACTCGCCAGCAACAACCACAAACACCGCGCCGGCACCACCATCACCACCACCACCACCATTATCATCACCGCCACCCACTGAACAAGCAGCGAGCGCCGGTCAATAAATTCCCCTGGCCGTCCCGGCGGTCTCCGCCGCGACGCCTGTCCTGTCAAGCTCTGGAAAAAAAAACAAAAAGAGGCGCGAGAAGGTGGTGACTGCCGTAAACACTTACGGGGCGAGAAATTAATCGGAGCTTTGGAGAACGGGGCGCGCGAGAGAGAAAGAGACACAGAGAGAAAGAGAGACGAGTGGGCCGCGCGCGCGGTATGACGGCAACATAACAATATCGATCGATCGGCGGGTGGATACTGATGGTAGACTACTAACAGGAAATTCTTGACGTTGCCGGGCCGCAGCGAGATGACGGGCATGAGGAGGACCGCGTTCACCATCACGATGCCGTAGTAGATGAGGAACTTGAAGTAGTAGCGGAAGGTGCGGCTGGTCTCGTACAGGAACGGCAGCACGAGGATGAAGCCGACGAGGATCACCTCGAAGCACGACGGAGGCATCTTCGGCGGCCGCGAGGACGACGAATTCCCTGATGTGCACGCGAACTCCTTCCGCTCTCCTCCCCCTGTGTTTTTATTCCTCCACTTCCTTTACTTTCGGCGGCCCGCCGCGACGATTACCTCGCTCACGCGACTTTTTTATTATCGACGACCGCAGACGGGAGAGCTCGCTCGCCGCTTCCTCGCCCCGGAGAGATAGATAGAGAGAGAGAGGCTTTGTCCCGGGGGGGGCTTCCGACGACGGGTGTCCCTTCGGACGGGAGCTCTTGCCGCGACGTAACACGCTGCTGCGCAAGCGGAGCACTGCCGTCCCAGCCGTCCGCGCGGCGAACGTTAAATATACGGGCCGCGCCGTTTGCCAAGGGGGAGAGAGAGACCCCCTCGGCGGCGTGTTCTATTCTACCCCTACTAGCCGCGATCCCCGGCCTCGCGCGGCAAGCGGGGTCGCCAATTTTTTTCGTTGTTGAGCGGCACGGTCATGACACATTGGAGCAAACGTATTTCACTAATGAATATTAAATATTGTTTCTGTACATTGGTATCGTCGAACGCGATAAACAATGCCTGTTTAAAGCACAATTGAACGTTTAAATCGTGCTTCTCTAATATCCATTTTTATCAATGCGGATTAACTCTAATCTCGATTTAACTTGCGTTTTATCTTTTTCTAGTTCTAAGAATTGGAGTAAAGTAATTAAGGAAGTTTAGGGAGAATAACGCGAAGGACGTTTCCGTAAAATCAATGTTTATAAAAGAGATGATATTATAATTTAATGTTCTTAACTACTCTCCGTCCTCTTAATTACTTTTGAAACTTAATTGTTAATGTTATGCAAATAATGACATCACCAGCAGCACAATAGCATGCAGCACAAATTATTGTTGCAATCAGCAAGAGCTGAGGTCAAAGTTTATATATATATTCTCTTTTTACCTGTATCTATTTTGCATATAGACGCTACAAAGTGCGCGCTATATTTATTCTCTCTAAACTTATTAACGTTAATATTACACAAATGTCATAAATGTACACTGAAATCGTTGCCTGTTTTGTTGCAAAACAAAGATATTACTTTTATCCTCGCTTCTTCTGTACAAAAATGGAACTGGCAGTTACATTATTTGCATATAAACGCTAAAGAAATATACGTTTGCAGTTATTCACTCAAGAATGATATAATTACTTAATTAATTAAATATTGATAATTGATTAATATATTAAATTATGCATCCACTCTTAAGAAAAGGCATGGTACTTGAGTGAATAACTGCAGTTATTCCCTCAAGTAACATGTCTTTTCTTAAGGGTGGATGCATAATTTAGCACCTTAGCTAAACTTTACACCCACAAATATTGATTGGAAAAACGACATTCCGATCGCACTTAATCATCAGATAAGACGGAAGAGAGGAATATTGATTTTTCTTTGTTCAAATATTTTTCAGATGCATACGTATCCGCAATGATCAATCGTGATCACAGATTTTTTTTGTACATAAAACGATCATGACAGGTTTCTTATTGACAGGTGTAAAAAGGACACGAAAACAGATCTCACATTTTTTTTATTTCTGCAGTAATTTATTTTACGTTTTAAATTATTCAAAAGAAGCGTATCTGGCGATGTGACGATAAACAGGCCCCATATTATATGTCAGCCGTGTTTTAACAACTCATAAATGACAGAGCCTGTTATTATATATACAGATTTTGATTATCTTGATGCAGTTATTCACTCAAGTAACATGCCTTTTCTTAAGAGTGGATGCATAATTTAATATATATATTAATCAATTATCAATATTTAATTAATTAAGTAATTATATAATTCTTAATTGCACATTAGCTATATACTTCACACCCACAAATATTAATTGGAAAAGCGACATTCCGATCGCACTTAACCATCATGCAGATAAGACGGAAAAGGGGAATATCGATTTTTCTTTGTTCAAATATTTTTCAGACGCGTACGTATCTGCACGTATGTATGTATATGCGTACGTATCCGCAATGATCAATCGTGATTACAGATTACATAAAACGATCACGAAGTTTCTTGTTGACATTGCAGGTGTAAAAAAAATGACACGAAAATAGATCTCACATTTTTTTATCTCCAGTAATTAATTTTACATTTAAAATTTAAATTATTTAAAAGAAGCGTATATCTAGCGATGTGGTGATAAACAGACGTGTTATATCTGGCCGTAATGTTTGGCTATATGACTGTTCGATCAAATATTTCGAAAATAATTCGAGCATTGATAACGTAAGAAAGATTTGGAAATATTATACTCTTTTCGTTTAGGATTGTATTTCGTTTATTTTGTTAGAATTGTAATAGTAAAATCCACAAAGCCAAAATGAGGGTTTAAAATAATCTAATTTTGTAACTTCTCCATTTTATTCGGTTTTTTATAACTTTAAGTCTTATTTTTGTTTTGTTCCGTTTAGCTTTACTAATTTCGGGAAAAAAACAACTTATTTCTTAAATCTTTATTCTTTAACAATTCTTTTATATCTTTATCCTTGATTTGTTATTGTAAACTCGCTTAATTTCGAATTGGTGCTTGACACTGAACATTGTAAATATTGTGAAAATTACCAAAATATAAACATTATAATAAATATATAAACAAAAAATCTAATATATGCATCTTATATAAGTAATAATTATTTAGATTTATTAGAAAAATATTTATTTAGAAAAATATTTTGTCGATTTTTATACTCACGTATATTTATCTCATAATAATAATTTATATAATTATTTTTAATTGGGAGACATTATAGGTACTATTTCATTTAGACCTTTCGGCAAATGCAATTCGATCTGAGACTGTAATATCAAAGACGATGACAATGATATCATATAGGCGAGAAATATATCTTGACGGTAGACCGTTTTTTTTCCGATTAAACGTTACAGACACGAGTGTTGAGGACGTGAAGTGAACACTCAAGGCTCAAGTGCAATCTCTATCTCGTTATAAGTTATAATTGTTATAAAGCTTAAGAGACGCGCAAAAGACGAGAGATATTTCGCAACGGCAGTAATCTAAGAAATAATAACTTAAAAATCGTTTCTAAGCCCATATAATTTTATAT